AATAATTTTTCTGTTGCATTATTTACCATAGTATCTCACAGTACTTCTATGTACTTTTAAAAATTTACTCCTAAAACCACTTTTAAAACTAGAAGGCCTGCATTATTTCCCCCATTTTCATGTTATACAGAGGAAGGGATGTTAACTTACTGTTAACCCCAAATCAAACGATGAATCTACTGAAAATCCCAATCCACAAGCCATTCATTAAGCTTTCCCAAAGAAGTTTGAATTGTTTGCTTGTTTTTTCTTTGAAAACTTTATATGACATGCAATTTAATTTTTGACAAGTTTAAATTCCCCTTAGAAAACTAAGCAAATGCCAAGACATAGGTAAGTTTAGAGGTGAGTACATGAAAAATAATTATTTTCTTATTTCTACCATTTATTCCCTTAAACTTTAAGGGGATCTTGGAAAGTTCAAAACATTGATTTGATCACCAAACATGCACTTAGAAGGAAATGAAATATTTATATTCCCGGTATAATGTTGCATTAAGATGGTTAGTCATATGCAAGAAACTTCTAAACTAGTTACCTAAACTAGTTACAAGTACTTCCTACAACTAATCAAAACAACATCCTAGTTGTTAGTGATTACCTTTGTGATTTAAGATTTCTCTGAAGGGTCTGCAGCAACCAGGCTATTTCTGTGTCACTCTTCCTGTAACTAAAGATCAGTAAGAAAAGAAAAAATTTGACCTAATTTCTACCACACATTGATTAATGAAAAACAAATGCTATATGTTTGGTTTGTGATAGTTATAAAGCAATAGTCAATGATTTATGTGTCATGGCTTATGAAACTATTAAAAAATTAATTATCCCCAAACAGAGAAATCTAGGCAAGATACTTGAAAGTAATTTATTATAGTAGTATCCATTATTAATGTATATTTCTGTCAGAGCTTTAGCTAAAGCCCAAGTTTTACTTTGAAAACAGAAAAACATGGAACTACTTATCATTAGGATTTGAGGAATCAATCATGAAATTTTTTTTAAAAACCAGTTTTAATTTGGAGTCACAGATGGCAATGATCTTCCTATACCGCCTCCCCTCCCCCATGACTCTTCCAACTGGCTTTGGTGCTCCATTTACATACATCAATTCTAGCTGCTATCTCCTTTGATATTTTACATGTCCATTTCCTTACCCCTCCTCTTGAGAAAAGAGACTGCCTTTTTATACCTACCCCTTGCACCTAGCACAATGTCTGGTTCTCAGTGATACTTATTGAATGAATGAATGAATGAACGAATCTGTCTATAAAATAGCTACCAAAACTAATAAGTGAGTTTAGCAAATTTGATGCAAAGAAAGAAGCCCGGGCTAAAAAGACAATTGATCTGCCTGTTTTCAAATCCCGTTTTTGTTTCCTTTTTATAAATACAAAGAAGAGCTTTGAAATGGAACTTACCAACATTTTTTTTTTTTTTAGATCAGAGAAGATTCAGCTTTCCAAATTATTCTTTATTCACCCCCCTAAAAAAAGTCCCTTTGTTTTTGTTAGGTTTTGTTTTTAAGGCTTGACGTCTTAGCTTAAAAGATCCTTTCCCACAGCGACAGTCTTGAGGGTGTCCGATTTGTTAATCCTGCTATGGTTGTGATAGATTCTTTATCAAGAATTTCATGAATTTCCTTTCAGTTTCTGCTTCTAACCCGAATTCTTCTTCCCAATCTTTTCCCTCTCCCTTCTTTCCTACAGTCTTATCTGCATGTTCCACTGCAGAAGAACAATAAGAAATTCTTAGGTGGACATTTTTGCCCGGTTTTGGCTCTGAGCCTTGGAGCAGCCCCTGGGTGGGTTAAGTTCGCTGGTCAGGATACAGGGCAGCCGGAATTCCTCAAACACTGTGAGGCCCGGGAGTCTGTAGAATTTTGTTTTGGTTATTCTAAAATCCAGGTCTTTTAATATTTTCATATCTCTTGCTTGAGATTAAGGTGCGAGATGAGATATATGCTCTCACTCACAGCCCTCCACCTGCTAAGTCCACATGGACCACCTCTCCTGGGCGGGCAGAGCAGATGACTGCATGCCTCTGGATAAAGGCACACCATAAAAACACCCCAAAACCGCCTTCTCCTGTCTTATCCCCAAATATCTCCCTGGTATGAGCCACACTTTTGGATTCAGACTGGCCTGCAAGGGGTTCTGCTCTAAAGGATGTCTCCTACAGAGAGGGACTTCGGCGGCACTGGTTTAAATCTTAGCTCTATCACATCAATATCCTTCCCTATACAATGGGAATAATAAGAATTATCTTATAAATGGGATAATGTTAGTAAAGCACCTAGCATCCAGTAGCTGTTCAAAATTAATTTTGTTTTAGTCAATATCGTTCACTTGCATCATCCCTTTTGATCGTCACAGAATGCTGCTAGACAGGCAGCACAAATATTGTAATCCTCCTTTTATGGATGATTAACCTGGTGTTCTGAAACTTGCTCAGTACTAGTAATAACTCTTATCCGTGCTGACTACTCGTCAGGCATTGTCCTCTCATCATCTCTATGAAGTGGGTACTGAAAGTCCCATTTTGCAGATGAGGAAAATGAAGGCAGAGAAAGGCTAAATAACTTGCCAAGGACAAAGAGACAGCAAATAGAAGAGTTAGGATTCAAATCCAGATAGTGTGGCTCCAAAAGCAATACTCTTCACCACTGGACTTAAGTGCTGCCATTTCCCACAGCTTTTAAGTGGTGGATTTGACTCACATCTTTGAGTCCAAGTGTAGGGCACTTCACAACCAGAGAAGGAATGCATCAGGCCCTGGAAACAAAGTGCCTCTGAAGGAGACAGCACAAGGTTATCAGATCTGCCAACCTGGGAAGAGAACTTTAATGGAAGTGGATGATGTTCAGTATCCTAGGGAACGAGGCACAGAATATGACCAGAGTGCCAGCCCAAAGAGGGCACACAGAGCCAGGGTGGCATGGGAGCCCTGGAAACACACTGGGGAAAGGTGTCCCCCTTCACTGGCACTTTGGAGTCTGGGGTCTGGGGTAGAGGATTACTGTTCACAAAGACCCCTACCCTGGAAGTCCACAGCACCTGTTCATGCTATCTTCAGGGCACTTAGCTCTCTCTACTTTGTACTACACTCATCAGTGAATACTTCTGATATGCTCCTGAAGAGCGAGACCAGGTGTTACTCATTTTTATATCCTCCATGTGGCGCATCCAATAGGTGCTTAGTAAGTGTGAGTTAGGTGAATACATGTAAACAAAAGAACATACCTGAGCCCCAGAGGGATTTGGAGTTTGCTTTAATTATGTTTTCTTTTGTTGCACCACAATGGGCTAAATTCTATTTTTAAGCTTTTTTTCCTGATAACAAAAACATTTGAATGAAGATACTTTGGGGGAAAATAAGCCAGTATTTTCAACTGTTCTCTTAGGGCAATTGTTTTCCATTCTACCCATTTTCATGTGTTTATTTTTGTACTTGTACCCATTTAAAGCCACAAATAGTATAGCTTTTAAAAACCGAATGCGAAATTTAATAATAGCTATCCACCCACACCTATTAAAATGTTTACTAATGCATACAGCCTACAAATATCAAGCCACAATGGATTTTAATGGCTTCTGTGTAAGTAGATGAAGCAGATGCCAGGTTCCTCCCCATCTGAGATTTCTTGGGTATTGAAGTGTGTTTCTACCTTTTATTCCTTAGCGGATGTGGTTGTAAAGGGCAGACTGAAATAAACTCAACCTGAGGTTTTGATGATGAGTTTCACAACTTTGAACATTTTATTCCATGTGCTGGGGAGGAAAAAACTTTTCCTCTACCCTCTTAGGTTCAGTATCTGGAGGCCTGTGAATAAAACTAACAAAAGACAGGAGAAAAGGCATACAATTTTTATTAATATTTACATGCATGAGAGTTCACAGATAAGAAATGAAACTCAAAGAAGCAGCTAGAGTCAGTGGCTTATATACCATTTTAACAAAAGACAAAGGGTATGAGCTTCAACGGATGATAGATTGTGGGGAAGTGACTGGGAAATATATCGGGGAACTAACAGAAAAGAAGGCTATTTTTATTTTAGTAAGGTCTATTTATGCAGACTTATCTCAGTGTTGACAACCCCCTGTTTCTTTGACTCCTCTCCCGGTGGGGGAAGAGATACCTTCCTCAAAGGGAACTTCAAGCCCTGCTCTTAAGGACAAAGAGGGGAGCAGAGAACTCTTCCTGTATCTACTCATTCTCAGTGGCCTTCAGCTCAAAATAATCCTTATGCCAAAGTGGTATATTTTAGGGTGGCATATCTGATCTCCTTCAAATGGGAAACAAATGTGAATGTGAATTATTTATTTTTTACAAGTCCTATTGATAAGTAACAGCAGCTTCCTTGTTAAAGAAATCTGTTTTTATGTTTTCTGACCTGGTACATGTACTCTTCCTTTCTGTAGTTCCATTTCATTGAATTTTTTTTAAGTTATTAAAAGTAATATGACTAATATAAAGTATATTGACAAAAAAGGGAGGGGAACATAAGTCATCCATAATCCTACTGTCCTATTAAAAGCTATGTTTTTGCATATTTTCTTTCAATGTTTTCTATGCATATCTATTTTATATAGTTTCAGTGATGTGTGGCACACAACGTGGTATGTAACCTCTTCAACTTCACATTTTATCACCTTCTCCATGTTCTTGCTTACTCACAGCCCTCGTTATTTAGCAGCTGCAAAGTCTTTCTAACCATTCACCAGGTGTCAGACATCTGGACTGCCTCCAGGCTCAGGATGGTTGCAACTCCAGCCAAGGGAGGGCAGGGCCGAGTTGGCCCCTTCTGGCCAAGCGGAACCTGGGCCGCCTAGAGGGGCGAGCCGCCGCCTAGAGGGGCGAGCCGCCGCCTAGAGGAGCCGCCTCCTAGAGGAGCCGCCAGCGGTTCAGAGGTCAAGTCCCTCAGAGGTCAAGTCCCAGGCGCAAGCTGCGGCCAGGCCAACCAGGGCTTTTCCCTCCAGGCTCCCTTCTTCCCAGGCTTAAGGTGGTGGAGCCCCGCCCCGCGGGTGCCCCAGGCCAAAGCTCCATCCCCTTCTTGAGCCCTCCCCACGCTGGGCCTGCCCAGGGTGGGTCCAGCTCAGCTGCTCTCTCCTTCTGTCCTTGCAATCCGCAGACCCACCGTGTGCAAAAGAAGGATCTAGGCCGGGCGCCCGGGGCGTCATGGTCCACCTCCTGACCTCCGAAGTGCAGCAGCTGCTCTACAACAAGTTTGTGGTCATCCTGGGGGACTCTGTCCATAGGGCCGTGTACAAGGACCTGGTGCTCCTGCTGCAGAAGGACTGCCTGCTCACTCCCAGCCAGCTCAAGGCCAAGGGGGAGGAGAGCTTCGAACAGGACAAGCTGCTGGAGGGAGGCCAGCTGGGCCCCATGCACAACGGCGTTGAGTACCGTGAGGTCCGCCAGTTCTGCTCGGGCCACCACCAGGTGCGCTTCTACTTCCTCACGCGCGTGTACTCCCAGTACCTCGAGGGCATCTTGGACGAGCTGCGGTCGGGCGAGCACTTCCCGGATGTGATCATCATGAACTCCTGCCTCTGGGACATCTCCAGGTACGGTCCGGACTCCTGGCCGAGCTACCTGGAGAACCTGGGGAGCCTGTTTGCGCGCCTGGGCCAGGTGCTGCCCGAGTCGTGCCTCATGGTATGGAACACAGCCATGCCGGTGGGCGGGAAAGTCACAGGGGGCTTCCTCCCGCCCGATCCCCAGCCCTCGACCGCCTCGCTGGAAATGAGCGTGGTCGAAGCCAACTTCCACAGCTCTGTTGAGGCGAAAAAGCACGGCTTCGACGTGCTGGACTTGCATTTCCACTTCCGCCACGCATGGCAGCACCGACAGCGGGACGGGGTGCACTGGGACGAGCGCGTGCACCGACACCTCTCCCAGCTGCTGCTGGCCCACCTGGCCGACGCCTGGGGTGTGGAGCTGCCCCAACGCCAACCAGTGGGCAGGTGGATCAAGGACGGCCCTGCGGGGGGAAACCCTGGCCAGGGAGTCGCGAGGCAGCCCCAGGCCCGCAGAGATCCACAGACCTTACCTCTGCCCCGACCCTTGCCTCCTCCCGCATACGGCCCCCTGCTCCCGCTCCCACCTCCCCGCCTGCCCCTGCCCCCACACCTGCCCCCACAGGCTCTTCCCAGCCCCTTTCACCAAGGGATGCCCCAGTTCCTCCTCCCCCAAGATGCCTGTTTTCCCTCAGACCATCCTTTCCAGTCGGATCAATCCTCCTTAAGCTATTTCCATTTAGATGTCCCCTGCGAAGCTGACTTTATGTTTGGTCCCCAGCCGCCTGTGCCCCCCACACCCCATTATCGGCGGCAGCTCCCTGTAGTTCAGAGGGGATTTCACCAAAACTCGCCTCGTAGCCGCTATATGCCCTGGAGGCGGCCCAGACCTTTCAGGAGAAGAGGCCCAGCCCACCCAAAGCCAAGGTTTCAATAGACACACGTCGACATTTTCCCCCGCGGCTCATGCTCATGGACTGGACAGACTGTCTAGCTCTCCCTATGCAGACTGCCCTTGTTAACTGCAGCCGTTGGTCCATGCTTGGACTTCTGTTTGTGCACTGCTGTTATCCATAATGGCAGGGAAGAGCGGTCTGACCCATTCTTGTTGGCTTATGGCCTCTTCCTCCACCCTCTGGGGGTGACCAAGCATTATTCCTGCCTCCCCACTCCCTAATCTTTGTCTTTTTGTAAACATAAAATTGAAATAAAGAAGTTGTTTCACAAAAACAGTTGTGGATTTCGTGTGTGTCTATATTTATTGGTGCCTCTCTCTTTTATTAAACAATTAGCTTGGTGAGAGCAAAGACAACATCTGGGGAGTAGTTAAAATGGTATCTGCTTGATAAACTACTCAAAATGGATTTTGTCTAAAATAATTCTGAGGGTTTCCATAAAATAGGTCTGATTCCTTACAAGTAAACGAAAGAACTTTAACTTTTTTGTAATCGTATTTTCCAGAGATTCTCGAAGAATCAGGAAATTTTAGAACTGGGAAAACTAAAGACATAAAATTTAATTACCATTTACAAACAAGGAAACTGAGGCCAAGAGAGGTGAGTAACATGTTCTAGGTCACACAGAAAATCACTCCTCCACTAGTCTTTCCTAGTTTATACTAGTTTCTAGTTTATATTAACTTTCAAAGCACAGCAAACCAAGAAGGGAAGTTTATCCAACATGGTCTTTCTATGGAAGTGATGGTGAACAACCCTTCTAGCTCCATAAGCAGAAGTTTATTGGTTAGATGTGCAATGAATTATGTATTTAAGCTAGATTGGGTGGCATGCTTGTCACTTTATGATTTCTTGAACAGACTTGAGCTTTGGATTTGAGAAAATTAGAGAAACGTTAAGGTGTACCCAGTGAAAATGTGAATCACCATTATCGTGTAAAGCCACGAGTTGGAAGGGACCACCCAGTGCACAAACCCTTCCCTTGCAAATCTGACAGATGGCCATAGCCGTCTCTTCTCTGTTTTGTAGGAATGTTAACATCACTAAGATTGTTTAAATGTTAGGCCCTTTGCCACACTAGAATAGTGAAGTGTTAATACTTAGATAAAATAGTCACAATAGGATGTGACTAAAATTGTCCAAATAGGATTTTTCATTGAATTGATTTGACTGGTTTATAGGTCCTCAACTGGACTTTCCTTAAATTTGACGAGGGTAAGGAAATGTTATTCTGCAAAGATGAAGTTCATGAAATCACAGAATTGGATGAGATCAGCTATCCACAGAAGAAATACACAGCTGTTAACCCACTAAAAAACCCTCAAGATTCCTGGAGAATAGGGCCTTTATCTTACTTATCTTTGTGTCTGAAAACCTAGCACAATATCTGGCACTTAGTAAGTACTGAACAATATTTCTTGGATGAATCAGTGAGTGAATGAAAAGGTGGCATATAAATGTGTTCCTAGGGAGACTGCAACCCAAGTCTCTAAGGAGATAATATAAATTGATGTTTAATCCTTATAGCACATCTGAAGGAATATTGCCGAAACAGCATGATGATTACCTTCGAGGACCCAAGAAAGACAATGCCTACTAGTCAGAATTTGCCGGAATGTCGCAGCGTAGTCAGGAGAGAGGGCACCTGTCTGACCAATGTAAATATTCTAATCCCATGCAGGAGAGTAGTGGACCAGCTGTGAGATTTGGTAACATTAGCCATCAAGATGAGCCAGTTACCTTCATTCTGGCTTTACATTTCCCAAGCAAGATCAAGCAGCATTTAGCTGCTGATCTTAGTAAGCTGACACATTTAGTATTTATATTTTCATGAATAAACCAATAAATTGGTGTTATGGTTTATATGTGTCTTGTGAGTTAGGTTAGTATGTATTAATCCTCCTTAATCTGATCACAGCCAATGAACCGAGGAGAATGAGTTCTTAGATATACGGTGCTGAGGACCAGACACTGAATCAATGATGAATCCATATATTACGGATTAAATTACACCAATCGTTCCACCAATCATTTAACAGGGTAGGAGTGCAGGTGGATCAGACAGGGACAATCTTCTTCCCAGGTATATTAATTTCCTATGGCTGCTATAACAAATACTATAAACTTGGCGACTTAAAACAACAGATATTTATTCTCTTACAGTTCTGGATCTCAAAAGTCCAAAATCCATTACCCCAGAGTAAAATCCTTACCATGTCCTATGCTGTCCTACATCATCAGGCTTCTACCTTACCCTGCAATGTTATCTTCTGGAAGTCTCTTCATTGCTCTTGATGCTTTCAACCACACAGGACTTCTTCCTGTTCATACGACATGTCAAACTCTTTTATAACTTGGGTCTTGGCACTTGTTATTCCCCTTGCTGGAAAGCTCTACATCCCCTGCCCCCTAGGTCTTTGGATATCTAACTTCATGCTTCCATCTTCACCTTCCAAGTCACCTCCTAAGAGGCCTTCCATGACCATTTGATCTAAAAATACTGTTACAATCTCTTACAGCACTCTATTTCCTTGTGGTGCTAACCCCGCTCAGCAATGGCTTTAATAGTTGCTTATTTGTTAGCCCTCCAACTAGAACGCACACTCCAGGAGTCTTGTTCACTGTTGAACTCCCAATGCCTACTAACACGGTGTCTGCAAAGAAGGTGTTCAAGTATAGCTACCCTAGTTAAATGTTCAAGAACGTAATGAATTCATATTGCGTACTCAAGAATGTATTCGTATTAAAGTTGGGCTGTATTTGATTACTTTTCTTTAGCAAATGTCTACAGAACACTCCCATAACTTTCCCTAAGTCACCTGGGTGGCTAACACCCCCTGGACCTCCCCACACCCATTGCGGGTAAGAGCCTGATAGCGCCTTCATTGGGGGCTTGCAGTAAATTTTGTACCTATCCCGACGTTTATCTTCCAGCTGAGAGCTTTCTTCTTTGCCCATTTTTGCTGTTGTCACCTTGCTCTTTAAGTCAAGAAACGTGGCAATGCAATCAAGCCAAGGTCTGGTAAAAAGAGTCAAAATTATTCAAGGTTTATGAGAGACATTATTGCTTTGTTTTTAAGACTTAGAATGCGGGGTTCATTTGGCCTCAAGAAGTGACAGCACTCAAAGCTTTCTGTACTTGACTCTTGCCTCAAGTTCTCTGGAAAAAGAAAAAAAAAGTAAAATCATGATTAAATGAACCTTACCCAAGCAGTGTATGTTTCTCACAATATTCTATAATGCAGTATACTGTTACACCAAAGGCCAAAATTTTAAAGCTGTAGCTCTGTTTTTCCGTAAGTACAAACAAAGCATGGCCCAGCATTTGAAAACAAATGAAATCTTACATCCTGCCATAGGATCAAAATCAACCCCCTCTCCCCCGGTGAGCCACGGAGCTCTTGTTTCAGGGCCCTGCATTGCGTGACTCCTGGAGGGAGCACTCACGTTAAATTCTGGACTTGTACACAGTGGCGGCTCCATCTCTGACAGCTTTATGTTCATGAACTCTGCAAAGGTGAGTTGTTTTGAAAACTTAGATCGTTAAGACTCATGTCAGAGAAAGGATTTACCATTGTTTTAAACTATTGTATGTTTGTTTCTATAAACTCTAGAAACAGTATTCTCATTCCCACAACTTCAAGAAAGGCCCCTATCCTTTCCTGCTTAATTTATAGATAGAATTTTTCACAAGACTTTACTCATTAATCTTTAAAGAAACAATTTCTAGAACATGTCCCTGTAAGCCATAATCTTTATTCCTCATGCATTCTATGGGCAAGGATGCTTACAAAAGGATTCATTCTATTGCCCCATGTGGAAATTCACAATGACTTTTAATGGCTGAGAGGCTCTGAGAAGTTCTGCATGAAATAAACTTGATTAAATGTGTTTGACCTAGTATTTCTCAGATTTATTTAACCACTGACCATTTTCATATATAGCATCTTTTAAAAACATGTTTTGGGAAATCTTGTTCTAGAGAATGTCAGATAAAATAGTTGGGGTAAGTGAAGAGAAAAGAAAGTTTGTTAGTGACATTTTATATATGACCCCCCCCCCTTTTTTTTTTTTATGAACAAGATTGGCCCTGAGCTAACATCTGTTGCCAATCTTCCTCTTTTTGCTTGAGGAAGATCGTCCCTGAGCTAACATCAATGCCAATCTTCCTCTACCTTGCATATGGGACACTGCCACAGGATGGCTTGGTGAGTGGTGTGTAGGTCTGCGCCCAGGATCCAGGCCCACGAACCCTGGGCCACGGAAGCGGAGTGTGTGAACCCAACCACTATGCCACCTGGCCAGCGCCTTATATGAAGCCCCTTTTTTATGGAACACTATAATAGTCGTGCCCAAATATGAGCTAATATTCACTAGATAAGCCTGGGACAAGCCTAAGATTGGCTAGTTAACCGAAGTGGGATGAAATGGACCAGGAATAGTTGCCCTCTCCTTCCTCCAAGATGGAGGAGGCACTGGGACAGGGTATCCATTGCAGCCTGCAGAGCATGGTGTGCAGTGGAGGTATTCCACTCCAGGTGTTTAAAGCCTGGACCAGGGTCACAGCATATCCCAAGACACATCCCCATGGAGCTTGGTAAATGGGAAGTGGAGAATAAACAGTATTCTGAAACTGAGCTGATGGTCACTCAACAGAGAATCCGCTGTCAACGCTTAGCAACATTGTTAAGAGCAAGGACTCAAATCTCTAGGAAAAGGCCTGTCTTAGAAGACAAGAGCACCAACAGGAGCTGCTGTGGCAGAGCCAGACCCCCCTGCTGATGAAGAGACACAACTAGGCCATGTGGTCTGTGACACGTAGTCTGGGCTCCGAACAGGTGCCCTCCATCAAGCTGCAATGATGCCTCTCAGACTCAGCTGATGGCTGGCCTACTGCGCTTGGCTTCTTATCTTACTTCTCACTCCCTGTCTACATAGCATGGACTGATTTTTGGCAAGTAGTCTTTGAGCTTACATTTCATCTCAGTAATTACATCACACTGCAAGATTGAT